TTTTACCTACAGATAATTTTAAATAAAAAATTTAGTTAATAAGATAAATTACTTTTCAGTTTACGTTGTTGAAAATTTGGTATTAAATTATAAAGGCCGTGAATCATATTGAGGCAAAGTGCCAAATTGTGAAATATTATTCGGTTGAGTTGTTCACTCCCGACCACTTTGTTAAGATGTTGTGCACATTATGATCGAGTCATGGCTCCTTATTGTAGAAAAATAATATGTTGTAATATTTGATCATTTGATGTGCAATTTGTAATATGTTGTAATATTTGAGCACTTGATATGCAATTTGTGATATGTTGTAATTTTTGAGCACTTGATGTATAATTTGTGATATGTTGTAATATTTGGGCACTTGAGGTGCAAGTTGTATTATGCTGTGATATTTGGGCACTTGAGGTGCGATTTGTTAAATATTGTGATATTGATATGCATGCGGTGAGATAAGGGGGGCTTGAAATGCGTGGCTAGTAGGGGGAACTACTAGAAGTCATGCGGTGATATAAGGTCAGGGTGTTGAAACGCATGCGGTGAGATAATGGTGGTTTGAAACGCGTGGGTAGTAGGAAAACTACTAGAAGTCATGTGGTGTGATAAGGGTGGCTAAAACGCGGGATGCTATTTCGGAAAAAAAATAATTTCTTTAAAATTTAATGTGAACGCTCCCGCGGTGATATAAGAAAATGAAAGATTGTGAATTTATTTATGATTTGGGATTACGAGACAGTACCTCGGGAGTGCCCTTTTGTTGATATTTCTCTATGGCTGCACTTGCCTTTGGTTATTTTGTTTTTCCGTAATTTGTAAATTCTTGTGTTCTCCGTGATGTATTATTTTATTTAATATTAAGTGGTTTGTATTTCTTGATGTATTGTGTTGACCTTGACTTTTTTCGTACGAGACTTTGAGGATTTGTATTTTTGGGTTGTACTTGTTTTGATGATTGAGTTGTTTTAAATGAAAGAAATTTTTTTAGTATGTTTTAATTTAATAAATTTTATATTCAAATCAGTAGTTTATCTTTTGCTTTATTTTAATGGAAATTTTATTTTCTTCACTCAAACGATTTCTAAAATAAACTTATCTTTTTGTTGATTTTTTACTTGATTTATAGATTTTTACCTTACTTTATTGGAAATAAATTGATCCTGCGGATATTATATATAATGATGATTTTATTATTGACACGTGAGTTGTCCGTGTGATGGTGATAGAAATATGGGTACAAGGTGCCGTGAAAAATATAAAAGTGGGCTGATACCCGTAATTTTTATGATTGTGAAATGAGATGTCACATGGTGACTTTTACTTGAAAATATATTTATTGGAAAGTATTATATCCTGAGAATTTTTATTTGAAAAACATATAGACGGAAGAATTTATATTTGAAGGACTTGATAAATTGGTTGTACTTGTGTTTCCTTATTCGTCTGAGCAATAATTATGATGTTCTTGTTGCCTTGTTGGTATATCACTGGTTGAATTTATTGTTATCATTGCTAGTTGTTTTTCAGTACTATTGTATGCTGCTATATTGCACAGGTTATTTGACTAGTGAGTGTCTTGACTGTACCTCGTATCTACTTCATTGAGGTTAGTCTTGATACTTACTGGGTACCGACTGTGGTGTACTCATACTACAATTCTACATATTTTTGTGCAGAGCCAGGTATTGGAGATATCGGACTTGAGCAGAGTTAAAAGCGGGATCACAAGGATTCAAGGTAGAGCTGCTTGATCGTTGTAGTCCCTTGGAGTCTTTTCATTTCATTGTATTGTTAATTTTTAATCAAACAATATTATATATTCGGTCCTCGTGATCATTCCATGTATTCGGTTAGAGTTCGTGACTCAGTATTACCAGTCTTGGGAGGTTGTTATATTTGTAATTATTTTCGCTGTTAGTTTCTATATATATATAAACAAATTAGCTTGAATTGTATAAAAATCGGCTTACTTAGTCTTAGAGACTAAGTGTCATCACGACGCCTGTGGTGGGATTTTGGGTCGTGACACATGCATTACTAATACTTGTATTAAAACACAAAATGACAAGAATACCCTTTATTCAAACTTATATTTTTTTTGTTTAAAAATATATATATATTTAAACTATACTAACAATTTTAATAAAATAAAGTAAGCTAATAATAAATAACACTCACATTACATTTATATTACTAATCCTTATATAACTACCGCATAACTAATCCATGCATAACTAATCCCAACATAACTCAATCTTGCATAACTAATACATGCATAATTAATCCATGCATTACTTATTCCTGCATAACTAATACATGCATAACTAATACATGTATAATTAATACCTGCATAACTCTAATCGGCAACCAAATGACTCCTTAATATTTGCACAACACTCATGAAGTTAAGGACATGATGTCTTAAAGTTTAACAACATAAGGTAAAAATACAGGACACTTTGTTCTTAATATTTACACATCACTCACGAAGTTAAGGACACCATGTCCTTAATATTTACACAACACTCATGCAGTTAAGGACACTATGTCCTTAACATTTACACTGCACACATAAAGTTAAGGACAACACATATGAAGTAAGGACATGATGTCCTAAAGTTTAACAGTAAAATGTGCAAATACAGGACACATTGTCCTTAATATTTATACAATACTCATGGAGTTAAGGACACCATGTCCTTAAAATTTAGATAACACTCATGGAGTTAAGGACATGATGTCCTAAAGTTAAAACAGAATATGCTAATTCAGGACACGTTGTCCTTAATATTTACACATCACTCATGAAGTTAAGGACACCATGTCTAGTACAGGGATATTTTCGTCCGGACGAATAAAATTTTATTAAAGCATTAGCTAAAGAGTAAATACATTTTAAACATTGGCTTAAGAGTAAATACAACTTTAATTAGTGACTAACTGTGAACTTTCCCCCTAAAATTTATGGATAACAGGCCAAAAATTCAAGGCTTAAACAGGAATAAGGCCGCAGAAACGTCACTATATAGTCGCTTTTAGGGACATTACTAGTGAGGTTATGTCCGGGCTAAGCGCGGGACCAACGGCTAGATGAATCTTCACGTTAGCAGATCCATGAACATTTTTATTTCCATCAAAATTATCAAAATGAATAGCATAAGCAACAACTACCTCTAACATTGCTGTTACTGTTCTTGCTAAAGAAACTATAGATTGTTTGCTCCACTTTTAGCAGAGCCTAAACTAAAACATGGCAATACTAAAATCTATTAAGATGTATTTGTGAGCTTAACACATATTTCAAATTGCAAAAAGTTTGTAAAGTTTTTAAATTTCATCTATAATAAAATAAAGTATAGGTGTTCTATCTTTCTTCTGAATCAAGTATTTGAGAAGACATGTGATTTAAAATGTTTTGCAAAAGCATAGTGTTTAATGTCAATTACTCAACATATCTTTGCAACTCAGAAATTATTTGGTAAGATCAATTTATGAACTTCACATAAGAACGAAATAGGAATTATGAAAATTGTGAAGGTTCCATCCTTTCGATCTTATGCTCAAAGTATATCACAAAGTATTCCAAATTTTTTATAAAATCTAAACCACAAAGCATTTTTCTTCGTTGATAAGTCATTAGTTAATAATATTAAATAAGATGAGATATCTTTTTTTTACCGTAAGAAAAAATATGTGTCATTAGAAGTGGACCTGGAAATATAAAAACAAACATTTCTAAAGAAATACTAATTATATCCTTTCTTTTTATAGACTTTTATCATTAAGTGCTAGAATTAAAGATAGTTGTTTGAGCAATTTTTGAAATATTTACTTAACATTCAAAATAATCATGAAGATTCAAATGGTCAAGTTATTAGAGTTTGAATAATAATACCGTGAATTCTAAATCGACTCCGTATCGTTTCCTAATCAAATTACTCTTTTCTTGTTCTATATATTAAAAAAAAGAACATAATAAATTTATTATTAATATTTAAAATTAAGCCGAAGCATGTTTTTACTAAATGAGAATAACTTAATTAAGTTTTAGTTTGAAATGACATAGTAATATTTACAGATTAGCCTTTTGTAAGTAATTTTGTATTCTGCTTGGTTAGAATACTTAATTATTTAGTTTGTTCTTATTTTTAAAATAGACTATTACTGAAAAGGAATTTAGTAAATAATTTTGTATTCTGCTTGGTTATAATAGTTAATTATTCAGTTTGTTCTTATTTTTAAAATAGAATATTAAGGCAAAAAATATTTACTTGCTTCTAGATATTAAATCAAGAGAAAAGAATATGTAACACACTTTAAAATTACATAGTTAGTGTAATACTTAATTAGGGTTGCCGTTTAAGAGGGAATTGGATGTGAGATGATAATCATTAATAGTAGCTATTTAAGTGGGGCTCATTCTAATAGAAATATGTAGAGAGGAATGTGTGGAATGACAAATTTATGCAGGCCTCATATTATAATAGCCTTTAACCTTGATTGATCTGTAAATTACAAATTTAATGGGACCTACTGTTGCAGCAAACTCACAGCTGAAATATTAAGCGGTATGACAAACTGTAATATAATTTTGGGCCAGGCAGACATGTTGACCATGAGCTGCATGATTATTCCTACTTATAATATAGATATAGATATAGATTTAAAATATATTTAGAATTTTGAAGGTATTTACAGTTTAATCAGATTTCAAATTTCAGATCTATTTTCCTCTTCCATCTTCACAACTTAAAAGAAGCAATACCTTGCTATGCGTTGTTATAAAACAATGAACAGACTGCAATCAAACTGAGATAACTTTGGAATTTTTTTTGATAGGTCCAACTCTGAAGGCTTTGAATTGCCATAGCTAAACGTCACTCCTAGTAAGGTTGATTTTGAGGCGGCTAATTTTTAAATACTTTATAATTTTTAATTATAATTTAAATAATGGTCCTAAAAGAGACTATTTATGAACTTGGGTGATAAAGATGATAGCTTCACTTTTTGCAAGTGTTAAACCCAAACCTTAGTCCCCTATAATCGTTCAAAGAAATATTGCCTTGAGGGACAAGTTCCAACTTTATCTTGTAAACATTGCTTGAATGCCAGTGTGATTGAAATAAAATTCGACAGTGTTATCTCCTTTCATCATCAGTTCCTTGTAATCTTTCACCAAATTTCTCCCCGTTAGATAATTTTAACTAATCATTTTAGATTAATTTTTTAAAATAAGCTAGTTTAACTATACATAATCAAACCTGACGGTTCTAATCTTACTCGAGGAGAAACACGTACAATCTTTTGTTCACCAAAACATCTGCTGCCCCTTTCAGCTGAGAATCTTGTTTGGTCATTGCTCATGCCAGCTTCCAAATCCAAAACCCTAAGCTCTATGTTTCGCTCCGCCAGTAAAATATCAAAGCAATGGAAATCCGCTGCCCCTTCTACCCCGGCTGAGGATATTGCCCTAAAACAGTACGTCTCCTCCATTAAATCGCCATCTTCATCTCGGACTACTGATTGTTCCAAGTCTCTCAGTGAAATAGCCGCCGAAAGCCTGAATTTTAAGTCAGCTGCTGATTCTGGTACCACACTTGTAATTCTTCTTTGCTGGAGCATTATAAACACTTAAAATTGCTTGATTATTTATGTTCTTTGTTTCGTTCAGGAGAATCTGCAAAAGTGCTATCAGGAGAAATATCGTCGATACTATGTGGTATGCTTTTTATTTCTGTGTTAATTTGATAATTCAGGTACATTTGTCATAAATTTTAAATTTTGGATAAGTTAAAAACTGAGGAAGGACTACTAACTTATGCTGGGATATTGCCTTCTTTTTGTTTATTCTTTTATTGCTCTGTTATTCTTTTGGTTGTTCTTGTTTTACTTCGGCATATCACATGGACTCATTTGTTAAAGTAGTAAAGAGCTGTTTAATATGAATGAACATTATGATAATTGTTAGTTTGCTCTAAAAAATGAATGCACATTATGACGAATCATGTTCTGACCTTTGAAGTCTTAAATAATAGTGGGAGAGCATCTAAATGAGTTCCTTCTAAAAATAAAAAGCTCCTAAACGAGTCACCACAAATTTTCAGTTGCCAAATTGGAATATATCAATAATTTTCAGTTTAGCTGTTCATCTAATACAAAATATAAGTGCATTCCCTAGTTTAGAATTTGAATATGTTGTGGTTGTCTAGGAATTCTTGTAATGATATTTAATAGCAGAGGGTTGAACAAATGTGTGAACTATGATCGTCCAGCTACTGTTATCCTTATATTGATATTTCTGCATTATCCAGAAGGCTTAAAAGATGGGCTTCAGCAGGTGGGATCAGAGAGGACTACCTGAAATAATTCCTATCACAAGATCCACTGTGATGTAATTAGATGTGGGGAAAAAATGCACGACTTGGAATATCTATTTGTTTTTGCATATGTCGTCTGCATGCTATTGCCTTACAAACCTTTTTATCTACATATTCTTCTTATTATCTCTTATTGTAGGTGATTTAGATTATGATTTGATCGATTCAGAAACGAGTAGCAACACAAGTTGTTTGGAAACTGTATTGGATGTACCATGGTTATCAAATATAGATAGATCCAATAAGTCATTACGGCGGAAAGAAATAGCACGAGAAAGGAAGGAAATATGGACATTCAAGAGTAGTCAGACAAGCCGTTTCCACCAGTTGGTTAAACAATGTGCCTGTAAATTGGGGACTGATACTACCATTAAAGTGTTTGGTAAATTGGGACGAGAAACTGGCCTGAAAGAATATAATGCTCTAATAAGACTCTGTATAGAGAAAGCCAGAGAAACAAATGATGAAGAGGTGTCGTTGAAGCAGCTTTCAAAAGCTTATCAACTTCTTAAATCAATGAAGGAACAGGGTTTCCAAGTAAAAGAGGAGAGCTATGGTCCAATTCTTATGTATTTTATTGATTTTGGCATGGCACAGGAGTTTGACTTTTACTGTGAGCTCATAATAGATAGAAATTCTGATTCACTTGCAAGATTAGCTTACTATGAGATGTTGCTTTGGATTAAAGTTGAGAATGAAGATAAACTAGAAGAACTCTTCTATCATCTTTCACTTTATGATGGCGACGATAAATCCTCCTTTCAAGGTTTGCAATTTACTGGACACATGTCCCTATTACTATTTTATTTTTTTTATTCAAATTCGTTTGATCCTACTGGTTATTAGAAGCTACTTGTGGCACCTTGTACTTCAATGAGTAGATATTAAAATGATTAAGTTGCATGTTTCTTTTTCTCATATTTATTGTACATTATGTTTGTAATGCATATGCAAATTGTTGATGAATTTGGAGTCTGTCTTTGCAATCAGATACCATCTTAGAATGTCACAATTTTTTCTGAAATGCATCTTATGATGAGTTCTGGCAAAGGCTGTCTCTGCACCAGTGTCATACTTTAGAATCTCACAATGTTGTACATGTTGCAGAAAACTATCTGTTAGCACTGTGTGAAGAGGACCGTGTTAAAGGTTTTGTGAGGCTCCTACACACTGTTGATATAACAAAAATTTCATCTATGAATTGTGTCACAAATATATTCAAGTTCTTGGGGAAGTTGCAACTGGAGTCCTTCGCAAAGAAGTTACTTCAGGAGTTAGTAACAATAGGTAAACTTTTCAGTTTTCTTTTGTTTAGAGGCGCCTATATAGTTGGTTCATTTGTTAATTCACTGGCCTCATGTTAGGCAAATCTTTTCTAATTGCATTGGGTACTATAACATGAAGGTTACCCATTATTATTTAACTCATAGGATGTTCTCTATGTTGGTATCTTATCCCAATACATCTTAGAAAGGGTTAATATAAAATTTTGCGAATAGATATACTATATACAATTTTCTCAAAAAAAAAAAGAAAAGGAAATTACTATATGCTAGAAACGTTTTTGAGTATTCACATCATTTGTAAGGAAATTGACGATTTTCCTTTTGCTGTTCCTGTTAACAAATCCTTAACTTCTGACAAAGTGCCCTAATCTCTTCCACTTACATTCCCTTCTCATGCATCCTAATGTAATCTCTCTCAAAGCAGATATTGGAGCAGAAAACATCTCAAAGTTCATTTACAATTATACAACTAGCATGCCAAATTTTGCGGTGAGGAACTTCTCATGAATGCTGCTGGTAATCTCCCTTGGTATACAAGTCACATGACGCTTGCATAAACAACAACAACAACAACCCATTATAATCCCACAAGTAGGATCTGTGGAGGGTAGTGTGTACGCAGACCTTACCTTAACCTGTGGGGCAGAGAGGCTGTTTCCGATAGACCCTCAACACAAGAAGATGAAAAGAGACAACAGAACAGTAACAACAACCAACCAGGGCCAAAAAGATAGAATTAGAAAAATAAATGGAAAAGATTGTTGGATAGAATATCTAAGACGCTGTTTTTTTTTAAGTCACAAGTTACATAAACATCTTAAACTCTGCGTGCAGTCAAATGGTGTCAACTGATGTCACATGAACTGGAACAATGGAAGTTAAAGGGAGTTCAATTTTTTATTGTATTTTGCCCTTCTGTTTATGTTTTTTCCTCTAGATACTGATTGACTCTGGATTGCGATTAGCATAACTTCTTTACGTTGCTAATGTAAAGTTGGTTGTAAATTTTAAATAAACTATTGCTGTTGCCAAGTGGATCTGTAGCCATGCTAGTTCTTAATATGTGTCCACCTGTGAAATATTGCTCTGATTGCTTTGTTATGTTGTGGAAGCTTGAAGATGTGATGCTTGAATTCAAAAATTTACATGCTGAGTTGGAGCTTACACCAACATCTTCCCAATATCAGAAGCTTATTATGTACTGTTGTGAGTTATTTAAGGTATGAACCGATTGTTTACTGATGTTTTAGATATACTCTATGCAGTGATTGGAGATTTCTTTGTGCAAATAAGTCATTGCATGTTATGGTTGATATCTAAACTTCTCCAATGTACTGATACTTGCAACTTTGCAAATAGGTACATGTTGCACTTGATATGGTTGATCAGATGTTTGAAGCGGGTGTGACGTTAACGTTGGACACATTTAATTCCATACTAGATGCCTGCGATAGAAGCTGTGAGTATAATTTGGTAGGTTGGCTTGAATCTTTTATCTTTTTTTTGATGTTTTAGCTCATTAACTTAAGTTATGAGGAGCTGACGCATAGTTTGGGCTAGGACACATCAATTATCTGAGATTTTACGGTCATAAATGATCCTTGCTGTTCTGATAATTTGTTACTCATGTATATGGTTACAGTAAACAGTTTTGATGCTCCAAAGCTGAACCTGGATAAAGAATCAAAGCATCCTGGGCAGCACGTTTAGATGAAATACTAATGTACTAGTATAGATTGTGATATCAATCTTTAGGGGCAAAAGATAAGAATTTGTTCTCCTTCTCAAAAGAGAGAAGAATTAGTTCTCATAATCTGCTCGTTAGAGCTTTTAACTCTTAGGAACAGCAAAGTTGGAGTCTCCAAATAGGTTAAGTATTAAATAGCAAATGGGCTTAACAAATATTGATATATGTCTTATCAGTAGAAGAGCTAAGTTTATGATGTCAAATCCAAGTAAAAGGTAAAATCTTCATGGCTGTGATAGATTTTCAGCTGAATTTAACCCGTCGGTGTTCTTATATATCTGTTCAAGATCCACTCTAGTCCCTTCTCTTTGTCCTTTCTTCTTTCTCCATTGTCAACTGAATTTTTTGCTGCTTCTTTGATTCAATCACTTTTAGCGGCGAAATATTTCGAGTTGAAATTTACATAAGTAATTTTTCCCGAAGTACCAGAGCATTATATATTTGCAAATTATCCATTGCATATCTCTTGTATCTTTGATTTATTTCTGGCCGTCACAAATCAAGTTTTAATGTGTATCCTCATGAATCTTAGGTTCATCGAATATATTCAATGTTACTTCGCCATGGTCTCAAGCCAGATAGCGAGACCTTCAGGATAATGATAAATATGACTGTGAGAGCAAAAGATGTAAGTTTTCTCTTAGGGAATGTATTTGTGTATGGGTGCCTAACTACAAGAGCTCAGTGTTCTTTATGTTGTCCTAAATGCAGTTTGAAGGTGCATATGGCATGATCGAAGATTTGAAGAAATTTGACGTGATGCCTACCACTAGCATGTACAATTGCATAATGGCAGGATATTTCCGGGAGGTGGGTACTCCTTTTATCATGTTATCTTCTATGCTTGAGTTGTCATAATTTATCTATGTGCGGAACGACTAACTTCCACTCTCAAACCTATTTATTGCTTCTTGTGGTCTTCACTTGACCACCGCGTCTCTTTCAAAGTACTTATAGAATGTCTTTTTGAGTAAAAGGGAAAATACATCAAAGTATATTGCTCAATTTTAAGTCGCTACATTTGAGAAGTAAGGTTTACCTCTTTAGTGGATCTAGACATAGTAAGAAATCTAGCAACTTTATCTAAATAATTGCACTAAATTATGTGGGCAAAGTTGTTTGTTTCTCTACAAGAGTTGTGAAACTANAGTTGTTTGTTTCTCTACAAGAGTTGTGCAACTGGAGCTAGGGGTCGTCTGGTTACTCGTGTTATTGGAAATAATTCCGGATGAATTCTGCGTCAAATGTCAAGTGTTTGGTGATTGTATTTTGTTTGTGTATTGTTATTCAGATGTTTGGTTATCAAATTTTGTTTGCGTATTAATACCCACATTGGTTATGTGCATATTCATATCGTTGTGAATAACAATACACATATTAGTAATATATGGAGGAAATGATTTTCTATGCTTACAGTTTGAATAGAAGAAAATGGTCCTTCAAAGATCTCCTGTGTTAAATATAGATCTCTTTGTTATTTTTCACTGATCTCTTGTGAAAAGGGTTCTATAACTAAAATAACATTTGTAAAAAACTACAAATTCAAATCTCCTGTTGTTTTGATATTGGTTAGCTCATAGTCTGATACAGGGTTTTTTTGTAATAGGAGCTAACCTTTATCCTCTTTTGTATTCTTCCTGTAGTTTTGATATTGGTTAGCTCAGTCTGATACATTTTTTTTTGGTGGTAACAGGAGCTAACCTTTATCCTCTTTTATATTCTCTTGCATCTTCTTGATGCCTTTTACATAACACGGTACTACTTCAAAAAAAAAAACTCTTGTTATATCTGCATACGAGCATGTAATGCAGAAACAGTGCTTTTTATCTTATTAATTGTTTAGCTATTATACTCGTTGTATCTCATTTATTTTATGTAATGCTTGTACTTCTGGTTTAATAATTCGAAACAAACTGTTTAAAATGGGTCTTCCATGATTAAAAGAGTAATGCAATGTTCATTATTCATTATCTTATCTTATCTTCCTTATAAAAAAAAAATTTCATTATCTTATCTTTTTTGAGAATGATAACATTTTATAAATATAAAACAGCACAAAGTTTGTGCTGCTATAAGTGATAGAATACATCCCCCAAAAAGTAAAAGAATCCCCCACTACAAAAATATACAAGGATTCTATGATATCAAGTATGGAGTTACTATCATTTACAGGGCATTCTTTACACCAAAAAAGAAAAAGTCCTAAACAGTTCATTTTGATTTTCTGAATGGAGTTGCTAACATTCTCAAAACATCTGGAGTTCCTCTCGTTCCAGACTGACCACCAAATGCAGGCTGGGATCTACTGCCACCATTTCTTCTGTCTGACTCCACCTGTCACACCAGCCCAGCATCTCAAGAGGTCGGATGTATCTTTTGGCATGGCCCAGTTCATTCTGACAATACTTAGAAACACGTGCCACAAATGATTATTTTAAAATTCTTATCTTTAAGATACATTCAGAAAATTCTCTTAAAACTGTTCATTATTTTGAGATAATTAAGAATTGATTATTATGAAGTAAAGTTATTATAATTTATAGTTTTGTTACACACACACACATGTATATAGTACCAATTATTTTCTTCTTTTATGATAATAAAGCATATAGTTGATACATATATTGGATTAATTAGGATCAAAGTAGCTATCCGAGTAAGAGTACTTATGGGATTTAGAGAGCTCCGAATTTGCTTAAATTAACTAGTATTGCAATGAAACGAACTTGAATGGACAGGCTGGATATAGATAATTCATATAGTTGACCCCAAATGATTTCAGATCGATGCGTATTGATTGATTATGTTAATAAACCAAATATTTCAGTGGATAAATAATGTAGCAAATTTTCATTAAATTTAAAATATTTCATTGGATAAAATATTATTGGTAGCAAATTTTCAATAAATTTAAAACGTAATACATTTATTATATTATACACCTTATATATTTATCAAGTTAAACATCCAATGGTACAAACTATCTGGTGATTGTTATTCAATACATCCCTGTAAATATAATTTGTTTTGTATAATTGGTCGGCGAACCAAACCACCCTTGCAGAGACATGTCTGGATACTTACTCCCCCAAATTCTTGAATTTGACCAATGTTTCTGTAAATATAATTTGTTTTGTATAATTGGTCGGTGAACCAAACCACCCTTGCAGAGACATGTCTGGATACTTACTCCCCCAAATTCTTGAATTTGACCAATGTTTCTGTAAATATAATTTGTTTTGTATAATTGGTCGGTGAACCAAACCACCCTTGCAGAGACATGTCTGGATACTTACTCCCCCAAATTCTTGAATTTGACCAATGTTTGTGCGTTACAGGTATTAGAAAACAATCTTTCTTTATGTCCATCCTTCTCTATATTGGGAAGGGAAAATCAAGTGATGCTTCCATCATGATTCATGGTCGATAAGTTGTCTTGTGCATGCATTTTAGGTACAGAAACAGCCCTTTTTTGGGTGTGAAAAGCCATCCAATCCACGTGAAACATACAATTGCTTGATGGCTTTTACTAATATATTGAAATTTTGTTGCATGAATTTCCTTATCGCCGGAAATGATAATGGCTGTATAGTGCTTATTACTTCTAATTTTTTCTGCTTTTGACTTTTCCTATTTGCTGAACTTTCCGCAGAAAGACATTCATGCTGCACTAAAGGTTCTCAAACAAATGGAAGATGCTAATGTGAAGTCAGACTCTCAGACTTTCAGCTATCTGATAAGCAATTGCACAAGCGGAGATAACATATCTAAGGTCCTTTTGTTTTTCATCTTAGTTCAGTACTCCTTTGTGATACGTTCTATTCTGCGATCTGTGATAAAAGAACCTGCCCAGACTTGGCCAAATTATTTAGCACCCATTGTTGTAGGAATAGGATTATAAATCTGGACTTGCATTTCTCATTTGGGAAATAGCCGCTCTACCTTCACAAGGTAGGGGTAAGACTGCGTACACACTACCCTCCCTAGATCCCACTTATGGGATTACACTGCGTTTGTTGTTGTATTGTTGTGGGAATAGGACTATGAATCAGGGCTTGCATTCTCATTTCTCTGGCTGACTAAGTTTGATAATTTGAGTGGATGCATTATTTTCATTGTACTAGCTTATTCAAGATTATGTGCCCTTTCATATTTCTCGTTATTATAGAAGGCGGTTCAGTAATCGGGAGTAAGAAGGTAGAATGGAGATGATATTCTAACTTCTTGCAATGGAAATGATAGAATGGAGATGATAGTATCCTTGATTATAGAAGGAAGGCCAGCTTATGTTGAGCTTAATTCCAATTTAAGATTATAAAGCTAGTTCAATTCATGTACTATCAGAAGTCGTGCAAGCATATTGACAAATCCTTGGATTCCTTTGCAGACAAGTATGGAAGGGCCACTGTTGAACTCCTGGGTAGGAAGGAGGATTTGTGGATTGTAGTTTGCCATATTAAGAATCATGAGGTTTCAGGTTCAAATCCCAATGAAGATAAAAATTATTAGGTGATTCTTCCCATCTATCCAAGCCTTGGCGGGCAGAGTTACCTGGTACGTGTGCTGGTGGGAGTTAGCAGGTACCCGATGGAATAGTCGAGGTGTGGGCAAGCTGGCCCATACACCACCGTCATCAAAATGAAGAAGTTGATAACTGCCACATAGAAGTGGGATAAACTGTGTATTGCAAATTAACTAGTGCAACATAAGAAAATTCTTGTATTGACCCTCATATCAAAAGAGAGGAAGGCCATTAAGGCCTCATTTGTTTTTTTTAAGATTAAGACGTCTGAATCTGAATGCACGTCTGAATATCAAGATGTGTATTAAGATTAAGATGTTTGAATCTGGATACACATTTGAATGTTAAGATGTGTATTAAAATCTGAATACTAAATGATTAAGATTGTTTTTTTTCAATATCTGAATGAATAAAATTTATCTTTATTTAAAAATTAATAAATATAAAATTTAAATAAAATACTAATTTACTTAATATTTTATCAACAAAATATTTTTTTAAAAAAAATGGTAGTTGATGGTGGTGATGGCTAATGGTGGTATTTGTAGATGCCCACTAGAGGTGGTGGTTGGTAGTGGTGGTTCTAGGTAGTAGCTAGTAGTGATTGATAGTGGTGATTATGGTTGAGAATGGTGGGTGGTAGTAGTTGATAATGGTGGATGGTGATGGTGGTGGTTGAGGAAGGTGGTGGTAGTTCATTACGGTGGGCACTAGCTATTATGGTTAATAATGGTGGTGGCAGTTGAGGTGAATGTGTGGATGGTTGTGGTTGTGGATGATTGTGGTGGTGGCGGTGGTAGTTGATAATTGTGGGGATGGTGAGTGGTGGTAGTCAATAATGGTGAGGTGACGGGTGGTGGTAGTCAATAATGACGGTGACGATGATACTTGAGGATGGTGGTGGTCGGTGGTGGTGGTTGAGTATGGAGGTGGCGGGTGGTGCATGTTGGTAGTTGATAATGGTGGGCAGTGGCATTAATTAATTGTGAATATGGATAATAACATCTTAATGAAATTAAGTCTCTGTTATAGATCTTAATTGTTCACACCTATTCAGACCTATTAAGTAGTTGTGAAATGAAAAAAATAAATACACTTAATAATCAAGATCTGAATGATTCAGTTTCAGACTTAAAAAACAAACGCACTTAACATGTGAAATCTTGAATGATTAAGATTCAGACCTCCATTAAGTGCAAACAAATGAGGCCTAAATGATTTTTTAATCAGGATAAAAAATTTAACGATGTCTCGTGAATACATCCATCATCACAGTGCTAGTCTTTCCATTTGATGTAAAAATTGTCCTTTATGTGACTAAAATTCTCTTGAAGTGATCTACCATAAAATTATCATAGAATTTTTGTCAGTGGTAATTGGATTCATAAATCTGATTCCTTTATCTAATTTATCGAGGCATAGACTTTTTTGCTCTTTTGTTTCTTCTTTCCATATTAGCGCAAAGATGCTTATTCTATTGACATTGACTATAAATATGCACAATAACAATTGGTAATTTGAAAATCTGTAGTTTCTTGATGAGATGAAAGATTCTGGAGTTCAATACACAAAGCATGTATATATGGCCCTAATAAATGGATATACAGCGTCTGGACAGTTTGAAGAGGCTAAACAGGTACACGAGTATACCCAGTTCAGTTTCTTGTTTTTACAAGTCTTTGATTGCCATATGTTTCCCTTTTCTGCATGATAAATTCTTTATTAGATCCACGAATTCTTAATAGCTGGTTTTCCCCTTCAAAATTATTTCAGTTGTATGCTTTTCTATATTTAGACAAGAGTAGGTTGCTCTAGTGGTAAGCACCCTCCACTTCCAACCAAGAGGTTGAGTTTGAGTCACCCCAAGAGCAAGGTGGAGAGTTCTTGGAGGGAGGGAGCCGAGGGTCTATCGGAAACAGCCTCTCTACCCCAGGGTAGGGGTAAGGTCTGCGTACACACTACCCTCCCCAGACCCCACTAGTGGGATTATACTTGGTTGTTGTTGTTGTTGCTTTTCTATATTTATCTATTTATTTAATCTTGTTGAGGTCTCTGGTGGCACATTTTTGGTGGATGCATATGTGAATATTAAGAAATAAGTTTAGTGCATAAAAGATGTAAATTCATTGCTTTCTTCGAAGCTAAGTTGCATCTCAGTGAATTCTCTTGGGGCTTTTTATCTTGGCCAATCGGAAGCTTTCATGTGAAATATATTCTTTGCAGCAAAATGGAATTGCGTTCTAACTGATAAGCTCAATGTAGAGCATTCATGCGAAAGTATTTTCTGTTCCTTTGTCTCCTCGGAAGAGGCCAAACAAAAATGCTATTTCTTCTGATGATTTAGAAGCATCAAAATATGTGCAGGTAATCTATGATCGAAGAGTACCTGTAAAGAGCTTCAATGAAATCAGAAGTGCGCTTATTTCAGCTCTTGCATCACATGGACAAATGCTTGATGCCCTTAAAATATATGAAGAAATGAACAAAGCTCAATGCAAGTTGGAGCCAAAAACAATCATATGTCTCATTGTAAGTGCTTTCTTGCTCATTTTCTCTTTCCCAAGATCTTATCTTTAAGCACCTTCCGAATTCTTGACACTTTTATTCTTTTAAATCATAATTTTATAGGAACACCTTCAGTCTGAAGGAGAGTTGCATAGATTGCTGCACTTGCTTGAGCAACTAGATGGCCTGGATCGTTGGGTTGATGCTTGCTTTAGGGTCATAACATATTGTGTTCGGCACAACCACTTGAGGTATAAAGTCAAAACTGTTTCTTGAGAGTTATTGCTGAAATTTGACTCGCTTAAAATTTCCCCCTTTGTGTAATAGATCTGCTGTTGACTTACTCAAAAAGCTGGTAGATGCATACAAGAACGATGAAGTGGCTAAAGAAGTTCTGTTTGATGAGGTTTTGCTTTTGTTCCTTTTCTCTGCTTTTGGTTGGAAATTATAATTATGGATCATGGATCTTAGTACTTTTAGGGCTCCTGCCGTTGATATACTCTTATCAGTCCTTGTGTGTAAGATGGAGTGTCTTGCTCCTCACTGCATATAATATTTTTACTTGTCAAAATTGTTGGCTCTCATTATTTATGGAGACCTTAATTTAGCTCTGATGTGTTAAATTCTTGTTTGATACTGATTTTTGGTAATCATCGAGCAGGTTTTCTGCCAGATTGCGATAAATGAACCAACAAATTTGCAGTTCGGCTTGGATCTCCTTCAGGCTATTAAGAAAGAGATTGGTGTCCGCCTTTCAAGAAAAAGTCTTGATTTCCTCCTCAGTGCGTGTGTCAATGCCAAGGATTTACAAGCTTGTTCTCTGGTTTGGAAAGAATACAGAACAGCTAGTCTTCCTTACAATGTTTTAAGTTTTGTGAGGTAAATTTTGAATTACTGATATTTCTCAATCTTGTTTGCTTGCCTGAACATTCTGTTCTTAGGAAATTCATGATAGTTACTCATATTCTTTATTTTAATTTCTCTACAGTTGCATCTGTTGAGAAACTATTGAGTCAATCATTCAACTCTAAAGATTTAAATAAGCTTGACTAGTGCATTTTCATATGTTTGTTGCGTTTTTTCCTTCTTGGTTAGAGTGAAATGCAAAGGTATCCATCTAATACAACTTAAAGTTAAAGTTGGAAAGAAGTTAGAAAAAAGCATCGAACTCATAAAGCTTCTGAACTACAGATAACTAAATGAATCATTTATATCAATTTTCATACAATAGTTATTTTCACTGATTCTAGGAGTTAAATTGTAACAATTATTCTGACAAAAGCTGCACTTTCCCTATTGGTGACTACCGAAGGATGAAACAATTGATGTATTTTGACCTTATGTTTGGGCTACTTTTGAGAGGAAAAGCCCAAAACCGTACATGATCTTTGGCTTTAGATTCAAAGTCATACATATTCTTTCACATGGAGCACTAATAGTACATTTACTATTTACTTTAACAAAGTGGTGCACTTTTAGTCATAACACTGAAAAAACCCCAAAAACATACATTATCTTTGGCTTTAGACTCAAAGTCATACATATTCTTCCACGTAGAGCACTAATAGTCCATTTACTTTAACACAGTGGTGCACTTTTAGTCATAACACTAAACACATTTTAATTTTTAATAGAAATCTAAGATCTGACAAAATATTTGTTCCCTTTATTTTCTTATTTACCAAAAGAAATAAAGATGACAGATTTATCTAGATAGCAAATAGTAAAATGTTTCTATATCTAGATAGCAAATAGTAAATATGTGTAAAGATGACAAAAAATAAATATTATGTTTACTATACGCTGACTCCCATAAAATAAAAAAATCTAATAAATATATATTACGTATATTTATTTTAGTAATAAAATTTATTTATTCTCAGCAATGATTTTACGTATATTTATTTTATGTCAACGTATAGTAAATATTATGTATATAATAAAAAATCTAGATACCATTTGAGGTTATCTAGATAAAAATCATTGCAAATAAAAATTAACGGTGTTTAACATTTCTTAGTAAAATGTATATTTTACGTATAGTAAATAAATTCTATGTATATTTACTATTTGCTATCTAGATAAATCTTTTATCTTTATTTCTTTCGGTAAATAAGAAAATAAAGGGAACATATATTTTGTAAGATCTTAGATTTCTGTTAAAAATTAAAATGTGTTTAGTGTTATGACTAAAAGTGCACCACTTTGTTAAAGTAAATGTACTATTAGTGCTCCATGTGAAAGAATATGGATGACTTTAATTCTAAAGCCAAAGATGATGTATTGTTTTGATCTTTTCCTCTACTTTTGAGATCACAAATGTTGTTTGTCCTTTTATGTTTTCCTTATTTGCTCTAATACCCCGTTTGATGCAGGATGTATCAAGCCTTGTTGGCATTAGGGGACTACAAATCTGCCGCAAATATTTTCAATAAAATACCAAGGGATGATATTCACGTTTGCAGTGTACTCCAAGCTTGTCAAGAAACTTATGGAAAATCTGTTTCCGCAAAGGGGAAAAAGAAGAAAAACAAAATTGGAAAGAGTGTGAGATGTGAACAGTGGAGTTCATAGATGATTTAGAAAATTCTTAGGTGTGTATAAATTTTGAACGTGCCATCTCTGTATGAGAATATTCTTTGCAGATCATTTAGTTTATCTATTCCTGCTTGGTACTTTATTTTCCCCCCCTCTGCTCATTTTTCTTCGTCCTTTTTGGTGCAGCAATTGCTTGAGATCAACTTTTTGCAGATCATGTAGATGTACAACTTTTAGTGCTGAGAACTCATACATTGGGCGTAGAGCTCTATGTTAGTCCAGCTTTAGAATTGCCCAGAGATTCAACATCAAGTTGGAAGTGGATCAAGAGAAACGTGAGACACTTATTTTGACTTCTGTTATCATGGATTTATAGCCTATGATCATTTGAAACATTGAAGGGAACTTGCACTGGAACGTATAAAGGACTAAGAATCAAGTGGTGCAGATGTCTTGTTTCATTTTGAAGAGCAAGGAGAGAATCTGAAACATGTGTCCTCCCGAGGTTTTAGTTCTCCCTTTTCCCAAAAAACGAGTTCTCTGTAGAATCATATGTTAATTTGGAAATCAGGTGTATGATAGTTTCGTATTTGTAATTGGTCTATGATACACACATTTAGCCTTCAAATTTCCTACCTGATATTTTCGATGGTTTAGTAGGCCTTACCTGTATTTTCATTTTGTAGCTAGTCATCTTGTCTGGTGCTAACATTTCAGACCATTTGGTTTAAACCTTATGTTAATGGAACGATTGTGAAAACACCATAGCCTGTAAGGTATAAACCCACATGGAGAATAAGAAAACAGGGCATATTGGTCTGCCTGTGGTTTTAAGCAGAATGAGAAATCCTAGTCGAGTAATGCAAAAGGGGTCAATTGTAGACTGTTGAGCTCTCTTATTATTTTCATCGTCAAATAAACCTATAAAAGCAATTGTTCTTCTCTGTTTTCATATCTTCTGAATGAAACAAATATGAAGTGATTAACAGCTTTGTAATAACATTTCTTTACCGAGTCTTGTTTTGTTCTTTATCAAAATTTCTTCATTGCTAATTGTAGCAACTTGAGTACAATATTTATACGTGGATTTGATACTGAAGTCTTTCTTACAGGTAAGGTCTATTCAGTACCCACATATCTAACTTTCAAGGAAATGCTAGTTTGTTCTTGCAATAGTGATGTCCTTCTGATACCAGATAAATATTTGATTTTTTTTCTTTTTTTGGTGAGAAGAAAGTTTACATACCCATGTGTCTAAAACAGTATTTTGTTGATGCAATTGTCCATCCACATTCTTAACCCCCGAGGGAGTATGTTGAGGAGGGGAAAGAGCGAGGGAAAAAAGGAGGTAGAAGGTTTTGCTAGTCCAATACTGTAAATTAAACACTTGAATGCACTATAATTCTATAAGAAGTGGTCAGTTAACTGAGAATCCAATACAGAAAATTGCTTTTATAATGAATTTTCGGTAGAACAATTTCTTGTACTACTGGTAGTTATTATTACTCTTAACATTAAAGAAGATTTGAGCTTCCCATTAGCAAAATCTTTCAAAAAGAATTAGCAACAAGAATTGCTTGCCTACAACGTGCCTTAGCTTGTTCAAGTCTCTCATTCAGTGTCTCTTCTTTCACTGCAGCACTAACCATAGCCAAATCCATCTCCATTAACTTCAAGACTCTGGACAATTCTGTCACCATTCTATCTTCAACTTTCCCTTCTTCCCTTAACACTTCTGCTTCTTCTCTGGCTCTTTCTGCCACTATTTCTCCCACTTTAGCCAACAATGCTGTCGACCCAAAATCTCTAGCCATCAACTCCTCCAATTTTTCTAAAAAATCCATTATCACATATCCTACAGGCTTCTCCAAATTAATAGGCTTTGTTCTCTTCCATCCAATCTCAAAGTTTGGTGGATCCTGCTTCACAAGCCCTGTTCTTGATTTTCTATCGCGAATTATCTCTGACTTTCTTCGTTTCTCTATTGGGAATTTTTCTGGGCTGATTGTTGTTTCTGAAGTTGGAGTGGGACTGAGGAAATTGGGGTCTGAAGACTCAGGTGTGGGATTGGAAGTGCATTTGATTGTGAACTGCTTTACATGGATATGATTTGTGAGTGGTTGTGATGTTGGAATTATAGAAATTGGATTTGAGGGAAGATGAATTGAAGGGAGAGGGTGGACATGGTGGAGTTGGAGGATATTAGAAGCCATGCTAAATTGCCCAACAAGTTGATAAGGTCTATTTTGTCAAGTGGTGCCAAGTATCTCGTTTGTTACTACTTTACTAGTAGGGAGGGGCTAAATATCTTGCCAAGGCTTTTGCTTTCAATTGTAGAAAATTAAGGTGTTCCATTTTGAGTATTTTGTTAAAGGATTTAAATATTATGTACACCGGTAGTTAGTGTAAATTTTTTTCTATTTTTATATCAATTTAGATTAATAAAATTGCAGCAAATATATATGCCGAAGATGTAGAAAATTTGTTAATATTCTACTTTAATTGGTTTTAGCAAATTATATACACTAGCTATATATATAAAAAAATGTTTGTGTCAGGTGAAATTTAACGTGTTCTATTGTGTTCCTTCTTTCACACTGTATCCCTTTTGTAGTTTATCAGTCTCCCTAATTGCGTAAGCTTCAGCATCATTAGGATTTCTCACATCAAGTAAACTGTAAAAGACAACCCCAGGCATGAAGCAAATGTTGCCACAACAACCAAACCAACCTTAAATATATTGTATGTTAAATCCATCATCATTTGAGATAATCTTCAAGCTGATTAAAGGATAATCTCACGAAATTCAATGTATCATTTGAAAAAGAATTTCTGATGCCTTAATTCTTAATATTTACTAGTTCCTCCGTCCAAGTTTACTCGCCCATTATACTAAAAATAGATATCTACTTTTACTTGTTCACTTTGAAAATCAACAGATAATTTATCACTTTTTCAACCTATGTATAACTAATACAAACATTAATTACACACCCGATCTGGTATTATCATATGTAGCTAATACATAGCAAACCATGGTATTAGCAATACCAAGATTATTAATACATGCATAACCTTAGTTAAAGATAGGGGTGTACGACAAACCGCACCAAACCGATAATTCGAGTCAAATTGAGATAAAAAAATCGACTATGGTTGGGTTTGGTGTTAGGAAAACAAATCCGACCGTAACTGGTTTGGTTTGGTTTTAACTAAAAAAAGTCAAACCGAAACCAAACCAACCCGACATTACATGTATACAAGTTTTAATATTATTTTATAAGCCCAAAGCAAATTCGGGTTGGTTTGGTATTATTTTATAGGAGGTTCTCTCTTTTAATGTATTATTATTTCAAATGATCAAATATGTTTATAGCCCATAAAAGTTAGTAACTCAAATAAGCCCAAAGTAAATTCAAATCAATACTAATGCTAACAAAAAAAATCAATTAATACTAGGAATGACAATAGTATTGGATATTTATTTTTTAAGTTTTGCATTGGTTTAGATAATGAAAATGCATAACTTACTTTTAATACTATTTAGTCATGTAATTAATACTTAGTACGTATTCTCGTACTTATTTTAGTATGACTTAGTACTTTTAGATGATGTTTATTTTTATTATGGCTTATTAATTAGCAATATTTATTTTATGCGATTTTTTGAGTATTCTAGTATAATCACGACTCATCTCACATTATTTTATATTATTTTATTGGGTAATATATTATATAGTTTTATCATACTAGGACCTAAGAAATATTAAAGCACAAATTATATATTTTATACTATGAAGATTTTGTCGGAAAAAAATCGAAAAAATTGAGATTGAAAAATCCGACTTTTGTTGGTTTAGTTTATAGATTTAAAAATTCGAGACGGTTTGGTTTGGTAATTAAAAAACCCGAACAAATCTGGCCTTTGTACACCCCTAGTTAAAGACAAAATTGATTTTATGCTTGATTATAATTCTTTTGACATGTTTTTCATTAATGTATATAAGATACAAGTAGACAAATTCGCCTTTTCTAATTTTTTTTCCACCCTATTTTCTAATATTAAATTCTTTCAATAAATCATCCCTTCTATTTAAAAATCATATTTAAAAGAAAAAAGCCTAGAACACGCAATTCCTTTTCTGAAAATTAAAATACTTTTCTCTACAATTGTAGGATTCTTCCTCTTCCTCTCTCTCATGTGAGGCCAATTGCTCCATGGACACACGTCTTGGATCAACATTTGCACAAACTGTATAGACCAAATTAATGCAATTATCCTTAAAGAATTTGGCGGTTATTTTAATAAACAAAGAATTTTCTAAAATAATTATGTAATGTATATAATTTTAATACACCAAACCAAATAGTTGATAAAAATAATCTCAACATAACTACTGCATACATAACTAATACCGATATAATTAATATCCGCATTATTAATACACTCTATTCAACATTATTCTTATACATTTATTAAACGACCCCGTTTTGAATTAGGAATTGCTTTTGGATAAAAAGTAAAGAACTCGTATGATTTGGATTTTTGGATAAGAGATTCTTGACAATCAACTAAAGATTGAGTTTTTACACAAATAGCTAGTCATATTAATTATTTATTTTTGTTTAAATTATATATAATTATATACATATAATACATAAATTATACGTATACTATAATTCATGAGCAACTATTTGTGTTAATACTTGTTAAAAGGAGGATTTACTACTTCCATTAAAAGACTAACGAAGGAAGATAGTGGACGCCCAGCGACAGGGGTATAATTGTTGTAAGAAGCAAAGGAAGTGTTCGTGCGCCGTGTCTGGCGGAAACACAAAAACCTGTCGCTGACGACTGAGCTGAGGAGTGATGGCGAGGATACCCATAGGGTGCGAGCCGGTGGTGGGATCGTTAACGCCGTCAAAGAAAAAAGAGTACAGAGTCACTAACAGACTCCAAGAAGGCAAACGTCCGTTATACGCCGTCGTTTTCAACTTCATCGACTCTCGCTACTTCAATGTCTTTGCTACCGTCGGCGGAAATCGAGTACTATTCCTCTTCCTCTCTTCTTCTCTTTTTTGTTTCTCTTATTTTTTTTTGGGTTACCTCCTATTTTGTTTTTCTCTGCTCAGCGGTGTAGTTAAATAAGCCCTAATTTTCCTTAAAGACGAATCTTTGGATATAGAGCATTCATATAGTTGAATCCCACTAGTTTGGTATTGAAGCTTATTGTGTTGCTGGAAATTATTTAGGATTTAACTCACGTTCTTCTTTTCATTTAGGGATGACAAGTACATGAAAACTCACGAGCGTGCTTCGCCTTTACTACTTGTTTACTTCTTGTTGACTGTTATATGGGAGAAGGTGTAATGTTTAGATAGAAAGCATCAATCTTTTTCCATCTTGGTCATTTTGCCTATTTGTTAAAACCTCAAGTTGAATAATGCTCTCTATTGTTCATTTCAATTAAATGTGCCAGATGTAGCTCTGCAAGTTACTTTAATATTGAAGGCTCGAGAATGGAGGACCCCAACCTCTCCCACACATTCATTTTTTAATGCTTAGAAGCAAAAATGTTTAACTCATTGCTGAAACCTTCTTATTTACTTAGGATTGTTATGCCTGCTTTTAGCTCACGTTTACCTTATACACAGTAACTGTTGATTGGTTCTTTTGTTTCTCCGTATTTGCAGAGTGCCACATGTTTTACAGATTGCAAATATTTCCCTATTGCTTTACCTTGCTAATATACCCTTTGTTCATGCCAAAGATAATGATTGTATTAGAATTGCCTATAATCTAGAAATCTTGTATAATTTCTTATCAACGTGAGAATGATGGAATTATAAAACTTGTTGTATTTCTGTTCAACTTGAGAGTTATGCATGAGGCAATCTTTTATTGCTTAAAATAAATTCAGAATTTGGAGAGGCTTCATGTTCGTGTAAATGAGGTGTCTTTTCTTAGTGTAGATTATGCCATCTGAGAATTGTTAAAAAATAGGGAAACTGAAAGAAGATAAACAATAATAGAAGAATAGGAGTGCTGATATTTATCCATTGTATGCCAATAGTGATAGCTCAGACTCAAGTCTTCAATTTTTCTGTTGGCTTGTCAGGTGACTGTTTACCAATGTCTGGAAGGTGGTGTTATTGCTGTGCTGCAGTCTTATATTGATGAAGATGTAAGAAGTTGCAAGTTCTGTGTTACTGCATTTATACTTTACATATGTGATTTGTATGCTTAAAAAGCTCTTGGCCTTTCCATGTGCTTTGTAGATCAGAAAGATGAATCCTTTTACACTGTAAGTTGGGCTTGCAATATTGATGGGAGTCCATTCATAGTGGCTGGAGGAATAAATGGAATTCTCCGTGTTATTGATGCTGGCAATGAGAAGATACACAAGGTCTTGTACATGAAACTTTGGCTTGCACGTTTACATGGTTAAAGAAGACTAGCTGCTTGTTTAATTTTAGAGTGAATTTCTGCAAATGATCATAACATCCATCTAATTAATTTTTATCTGACTTGTAATATATTTCTTCTCCTCCATGATCCAATCCATCTTATTCATTGTGATACTACAACAACACCAACAACGACCAAGTAAAATCTCACAAGTGGGGTCTAGGGAGGGTAGTGTGTACGCAGCCCTTACCCCTACCCGAAGGAGTAGAGAGGCTGTTTCCGAAAGACCCTCGGCTTAAGAAGACGGAAAAGACGAGAAGAGAAGGGAAGGGACAATATATTAGTACCATCAAACAGAAATCAAAGAAATAATAACAACATTATAAGAACTAGAAAATAGTTGAAATGCAATAACAAAATCAGAAAATAAGCCCCGATGCTATGAAATACGGAAGGATAGTGTGAACACAATATTAACCACTAGCAGTCTAAGGCCAACCCTATCGAACTAGCCTCACCCACGGACTCGGCTACGTCCTAACCTACAACCCTAATGCTCGACCTCCACACCTTCCTAACAAGGGTCATGTCCTCGGAAATCTGCAGCAACGCCATGTCCTGTCTGATCACCTCTCCCCAATACTTCTTAGGCCGCCCTCTACCTCTTCTCGAACCCACCAAGGCCAAACTCTCGCACCTCCTCACCGGAGCATCAGGGCTCCTCCTCTGCACATGCCCGAACTATTTGAGCCTCGCTTCCCACATCTTTTCATCCATAGGAGCCACACCCACCTTCTCCCGAATAAGTTCATTCCTAATCTTTATCCATCCTATCCATCCTAGTATGCCTACACATCCACCTCAACATCCTCATTTT